GCCCAGTCACAGCCGAGACGGCCCAAAACAACCCCACTCGGCACTCGGCACTCGTCACCCCTTTTTAGCCTGAACTTTGGTCGTTGCGGACCAGTCAGCGGCACCAAAATAACACCCGAAAAACGTCACGATGAGAGCTTTGTTCCGATGGTTCCTGCTTTTCTCTTCGGGAATATATTTTGGCGGGGTCCGAAATAAAAGCCGTTTTATTGCCGACTAATTCTTATCGCAGGTGTCGGGCTGAAAGGCGATGATTTACAGTCCACATTGTGCTCTACTGATTGCATTGTCTACTTGCCTTGCCCACCTGTCAATGTTTTTAGTCCAGTTAGTTTATTACTCTTTTTTTTGCGTTTCTAATATGCCTTGACCTCCAAACATGACATGGAAAATTGCTTTCCCCATTACTTTTGTAAGTTTCGTGTCCGTCCATTGACAATCTCGAATGTTTATATCCGTTTTGGGAGCTGAAATCATTCACGATTTAGCTCAGTCACGATTTTTGTTTACCCATTCAGAGCTTTCTAAAGCTCTGCCCATTTTTACATACATACATTTCGTGTTAAATTCTAAAATTCATTCATTTAATAGCAACAATTAGGGAAACGTTGACAGAGCACTCTGTTTGTATGCAAAATTAGAGATTATTACCAAATGTTGATTAAAATTTTCAATTTTACTGGTGAAAGTTAAGTATTGGTAATCATTGTTTGAAAGTGTTATTAGTTTAATTTAGTTATATAGTTTTTTTTTGGCGGCAAATGTAGATAGTCAACGACTTTTTGCGGCTGTTCTATGTCGGTTATTGGCATTGGCTTCTGTTGCCAAGTTCAGAACAAAAAGGGAAAGGCGCATAAAGTAAATACAATTGAACAATGCTATGATATATGTAATGTATTTTAAAAACAACTGCGGTTAAGATAATAGCACTCCTATTTGTTAAATCACTCATTAGGTCAAGTAATGTATTTGAAATATAAATAAACTTGCACAAAAAAAGGTAGCAAATATCGTATCAAATTTGTTAAGAGAAACAAATTTCTATTGCAAATCCTCTACAAATTGTTTGTGTTATTAAATTACCATATTAAATGAAAAGCCATTTTGCAATTTAAAGAGTAGCTATAATTTTTGCAGCAACTATATGTGATAACTTTGAAATGAAGTGGCCATTTGAATGCAGGGAATCGAATTAGGTCTCCTCGGGCAATTAGGAAGCCTCGCATTACAGTAAGTGATCCAATTGTGTTCGGGGTAATTAGCCCAATTGTGGGACACCCGGTACGCGGCCACCCATTTAAGAACGCCACCGGCGCGTGCTCAATGTGAATACTATGGAAGTAATACTATATACACTGCAATGTGTTTCCTCATGGTCGTGTTTCTCTTTTTTCTGTCATTGTTCCAGGGAGGGCAACCACCCCGACGATTATTCCCGGGGCCTCACCTATCGCAAGTTGCTGGAGGAGGTGTGCCGCTTTGCCAACGTGCTGAAGGACCATGGAATCCGGAAGGGCGACCGTGTGTCCATCTACATGCCGATGATCCTGGAGCTGCCCATCGCTATGTTGGCCTGTGCCCGTATTGGAGCCGTGCACTCGATCGTTTTTGCCGGATTCTCGCCGGACTCGCTGGCGGAGCGGATGGTCGACTGCAAGGCCAAGCTGCTGATCACGGCGGATGGAGCCTGGCGTGGCGAGAAGCCCCTGTACTTGAAGGCCCTGTGCGACAAGGCATTGGAGAAGGCGGAGGAGATGGGTCACTCGGTGGAGAAGTGCATCGTGGTGTCGCATTTGAAGCGCGTCACTCCCTGCCAGCCGGATCATGTCGAGGAGGAGATCCCGTGGACCGATGACCGGGACTACTGGTGGCACGAGGAGATGGAGGACAAGGAGCCGGCCTGCTATCCCGAGTGGATGGACGCCGAGGACCCGCTGTTCATGCTCTACACCAGCGGCTCCACCGGCAAGCCGAAGGGAGTGCTCCACACGACCGCCGGATATCTGCTGTATGCAGCCACTACCTTCAAGATCGTCTTCGACTACAAGCCAGGTGATATCTACTGGTGCACCGCCGATGTGGGCTGGATCACGGGACACACTTACGTGGTATACGGACCACTGGCCAATGGTGCCACTTCGGTTATTGTGAGTGTCCGATTAGATCAAACGAATACCATAACGCAATTCCTGACTAACACCTGGCTTTTCCAGTTCGAGGGCACCCCGTTCTTCCCTGGCAACGATCGGTATTGGAGTGTCATTGACAAATATAAGGTTACCCAGTTCTATACAGCTCCCACGGCCATCCGTGCGCTCATGAAGTACGGCGAGGGACCCGTGCTTAAGCACAACCTAAGCGGACTCAAGTAGGTTGCTCACAACTTTGTACAACTTAACTTAGACTTTACGAATTGAAATGTTAAAGATAATATTAATTCTTCAGAACCAGTTGTATTTATTTTCTTATCAATTGAGGTCTTAAGACACTTGAGAAAAAAGCATTCATAAAGCGATACATCTATTTAACTCTCTTATTAAAGAATATTGTATATTAACACTTTTATTTATTTAGAACAAAATGTGTCACTCACGTAAACGAGTTTAGATTGCTAAAAAGTGTATTTTTAAAATAATTAACAGATGAACGGAAAATATATTGAACCATGATAACATAAATTCATTATTAAATTTGCATATGCTGAAATTAATATATATTGCTATATATTAGACTGACAATGCATTTATAAAGTTAACAAATGAAAACTAAATCAACCCATAATATTATTTACCTTCAATTAGGATGTTAACAGAAACGTGTTATAAATTTGTAAATTTATGAAATCGTTTGCTTTTACTTACTCTATTATCTCCAATCTCTTACAGAGTTTTGGGCAGCGTGGGTGAGCCCATTAACCCGGAGGCCTGGCTCTGGTACTATCGCAACATTGGCAAGGAGCAGTGCTCCATTGTGGATACTTTCTGGCAGACGGAAACCGGGGGTCATGTCATCACACCGCTGCCCGGAGCCACGCCCATGAAGCCGGGCTCTGCTGTAAGAAGTGCTTAGCCCAATTACTGCAACAAACTTTTAATTTCATACTCTCACACTTCTTCAGTCTTTCCCATTCTTTGGCGTCAAGCCCACTTTGCTGGATGAGTGTGGCATTGAGATCAAGGGCGAGGGCGAAGGCTACTTGGTCTTCTCGCAACCTTGGCCGGGAATGATGCGCACCTTGTATAACAACCATGAACGCTTCGAGGACACCTACTTCTCAAAGTTTCCTGGCTTCTACTGCACTGGTGACGGTGAGTTTGGTTCAAAATATAATAAATATAATAAAATGTGTAAAGGACTGTTGCTAACTATTTGTTTTTTTTCCCCGACAGGTGCCCGTCGCGATGCTGATGGCTATCTCTGGATCACCGGCCGTGTGGACGACATGTTGAACGTGTCCGGACATCTGATGTCCACCGCCGAGGTGGAGTCCGTCCTGACGGAGCATCCCCGTGTGGCCGAGTCCGCCGTGGTCTCTCGGCCGCATCCCGTGAAGGGCGAGTGCCTCTACTGCTTCATTACACCAAATGAGAACGAGGTGTTCGACCAGAAGCTGATTGCCGACCTGAAGAAGATGGTACGCGAGCGAATCGGACCCTTTGCCATGCCGGATGTCATCCAGAATGCTCCTGGATTGCCAAAAACGCGCTCCGGCAAGATCATGCGCCGCGTGCTGCGCAAGATCGCGGTCAACGATCGCAATGTGGGCGATACCTCGACCCTGGCTGATGAGCAGATTGTGGAGCAGCTCTTCGCCAACCGGCCGGTGGAGGCCAAGTAGATGGTAGCAGATGGTCCAAAAGGCAGTGGCTATGATTCCTTGCCGAATGCTTTCCCCAGCTTGCACCGACCACTCCACTCTGCCGTCGCATTTCTACCACTTGCGTATCCCGATTACGTGTCCTGTAAATCTCCCCCTACATATACAAAATACCCAATGCTTAATGTTGGTCCCGTTCCGGGCTACGGCGTGGTTATCATCTATTAAATTCTACCTAGTTTGTAAGCCCAAGCGTGTGCGTAAGTAGACGGGCTGGATGGTTTCCGTTTCAAGTAACTATCTGCCGTCTGTCCTTGTGTTTTTGCCTGTTCGCCGTAGTTAAACATGCTCAGCACGCACACAATTTCCAGTTCTTTTGTTTCTTTGTTGTAGTCGTAGTTTAAGTTCTCGCTAATTAGTTGTGATACAAGTTTAATTATATCTTACGTATGTATGTATTTTTAGTAGAATTGATATGAGACAAAATATATACACGATTCAAGTTGTAGCCACAAATTACACAGCTCACCCTTTTCGGTTTTTTCCGGTATCCTTTTGATTTGTAGCCACTCTTCTTGCACCTTTTCAGATCCCAGATGACACGCACGTAAGTCCGGAATCCGATCGGGGAATCGGTTTCTTTCCCCTTCCCCCTTTCCACTAGCCCGTAAGTTTGAGAACGATACATATCAGTGTGGCGTTATGCTTGACACATTCCTACATACGATCTACATGTTAAAGAGAACCGCTCGGATATACTATATACACTATATAACATATATATATATATTGTTATACGGTCTGAAGACTTACTGCAACGAAACATATCATTGAAGTTACTGCTGCAAGCCTATGAATATTATAGAGGATTTTATTGTTAGAGCTCGTTGTAATTGGGAGATCTAGATCGATTAGAAATAATGGATATCATGGATTATCTGATTGGGGTACTGCGTCTGATTGTAAAAAGATTGTTAGTTTTACAGCGTTGACGAATGGAAGAATGCAATTTACATATCTATATATATTTCTGTATATGAACGTATGTGTATAATAAAGTTTATTGTTTTAATGTGTTTGAACCTGCAAAACCAAAGAAGATGATTTTAGTTTTTTATTGTAACACTCAAAAAATTGCAAGAGTTAAACAAAGTCATTTCAAGTGTTATCAAAACTTTAGAGTAGAATAGCCGATCGTACTGGCCTGGCTTAAAAATTCCTGGTGGAGCAGTCAACTCTTGACCTTTGGCAATATCGCTTAGAAAAATTAAAGCTCGGCCTTTTATCACCTTGCCGGCAGTGGGAGATCTTGGAGTTGGGCTAGGGGCACCAGGAATATCATCAGAATGGCCGAAGAACAGCAGCCGCCGAACAAGAAGCCCGAAAACACAGACACCCCGGAGAGGAACGCGGCCACGGGATTCGGCTTGGAGGACCACGAGGCCACCCAGCAGGATGCCCGGGTGACAACCCTGCGGCTCGCCGAGGAGCGACGTGGCTCCATGATGCCTCCCGAAAAGCGACCGCTCAAGGGGACTTCGCAAGTGAGGCTGCAGACCGCAAATGAGCAGTGGGGCGGTGGTCGCGTTGGTGAGCACACACCCCCAGTCGCCTCATCCGCTGTGGCTCCGGATCTGCCGCCCAAGCCGCAGCGTTACTCCGATGCCGACGCCGATGTCGAATCCTCCGAGGTGGAAAGATCACCACAGAAGAGGAAATCCGAGAAATCAGATGTACTGATCTCGGATAGTCCCATGTCGTCGGATGATCAACAATCTCCGGCCCCAACGACGGAACCGACACCACGGACTGCAGCACCCGCACCCGCACCAGCTCCAGCTCCAAGTCCATCCCAAGCTGAACCCCAGCGGAAATCCATTGATTTTGCACCCACAGGAGCGGAACCGATGCCACCGCCGGCTCAAAGGCCGGAGGATGTGCCTATGCCACCGCCCATGATGTCGTCCTTGCAGCCGGACACCAGCAAGGACGATGTGCAGAGCTCGTTGAGCAAGCTGACCAACACGGACGTGACCTTTGACCCGTCCAAAGATTTTGCCAACAAGGGCACCAACACTTCCGGCATGATCTATTCGGGGAGCGAATCGGACCTAGGGGCCGAGCCAGTGTCCCAGCTGCCGGCCGTGTTCCCCGCCAGCGATCTGGACACCCTCTTCCAACTGGCCTGCTCGGAGGTAAAGAAGGCTGGCGCCATCGCCTTGGCCGAGAACGAAAAGAAGATGGAGTACACCACCAAGCAGCACACCCATGACCTGGTCACACCCGCCGACAACATAGTCGAGGAGACCTTCATCAAGGCCATCAGCTCTCGGTTTCCCGATCACCAGTAAGTTGGCATTATCTTGAGGGTCACAATTTAAATCAGAGTCACTAGGTTACTAAAATTCGATTATGTTTATTGGTATCAGAACTTACCAATAACAATAAAGTTATATATTTTAATGAGAAATAATTATAAGTAAATTCCCACCATAATAGAAGGAATCAAAAAGCTTACTTTCTGGGTCATTGATTATCAAAAAGTTGATTAAATCTAAAATTCTTTCAATTTCTGGTAAAACAAATGCAATTTTAGTGTGGTAACCATTTTCAACTTGCAGATTCATTGCTGAGGAGCGAATTTCAAAGTCGGAGACCGGAATGGTTACGCTGACAAACGAGCCCACCTGGATAATCGATCCCATTGACGGCACCATGAACTTTGTCCACCACTTTCCACACTACTGCATCTCCGTGGCCTATTTGGTGAACCAGGAGACGCAGTTTGGCATCATCTACAATCCGCCCATGAAGAACATGTACACGGCGCAACTGGGAAAGGGGGCGCAGCTGAACGGCTCGGACATTCGGACGACTGGTGAGACCAAACTCTCCTCGGCCATGATCCTGCAGGAGTACAGCTCGGACAGTAATGAAACGCGCAATCTGGTGGCGGCAGAGAATTTTCAGCGACTGGTGAAAAAGACACATGCGTGAGTAGTTTTCACTCAGATATTAACAAAAACAAGAAAGGAAGCTATTGCAAAATGTAAACATTCTTTATAACAACTATATTCCGATTTTGTATGACCATAAAACAATGAAGATGTGATGATTTTCCAAAGAATTATTCGATCGTTCCAATGACAACTATACGATATCGTAAATAAAATTAAATAATAAACTAATTCTGTATAAAGAATATATTAAATTTATTTCCGATTCACGATTTTAATAACACTGAAACCTTAATTCTTAAATATTTAATATTTAATAATTTATCTAAAAGAATATTGTAGAAAATTTAAAAAGCAGCGAAGTTAAAACTTTTTTTCCCCTTTTTTTTTTTTTTTTTTTTTATTTTTAAGATTGCTTAAACAGAAAGATAACTTTTGGGAAAGTTTCATGCAGATAGTTTTAAAGCAGAGATACTAGTTTTGGACTGGTAATATAACACCCTCTGCAAGGGTACAAAAAGCTGACAGAAATTATTAAAACCATCTTTTAGATATATGATTTTAATAATAAATACTCTTTAACGAAATGATCCTGTTTCATTGCAGCATGCGCTCCATTGGATCTTCTGCGATGTGCTTGGCAATGGTGGCCTCTGGAGTGGCGGATGCGTACTACAACTTCGGGCTGCATGTTTGGGACATGTGCGCGGGAGCTCTGATAGTCACCGAGGCTGGCGGAGTGGCGATGGATCCGGCCGGAACCGAACTGGACATAATGTCTCGACGCTGCTTGGCGGCGTCCACCGAGCACCTGGCCTTGGAACTGGGCTGTCACCTGGAGCAGAACTATCCCTCGCCCCGGGACGATGAGCCGCGATCCGTGAATCCCAACGAGTACGGCCCCGCTCCGGAAACCAAAGACTTCTCCGCCCAAACGGACTTTCCGGATTCCGATAGCGCGGACACCACGGACACAGATGCTGAAAGACACTAAACTGACCACCAGAAAGGCCAGCTTAAATTAAATTTTTAGTTATTCAATAAATTCACAATGAAAAGGCGATGGGTAATCAAAACACATTACCCAAAAATACATAGTTCTGTTTATGGCATATAGGTATTTAAAAAACAAAAACGTTATTCTCACTATTTAATAATGCAGATGTATTTAATAACACAACCATTTTATATTATGTTTTAGGGCATGCGCAATGGCATCAAAGTTTCTGCCAAAATGACTTACTTGACAACAATGCAATTTTCGACCAAAGCCAACACTACGTATGAGAGAGATATATAAAGGAACTCTAAGAACATTAATATATTAAAATAAATAAAATCTGGATTTAACAGAATTTAGAGCCGAACCCACCCTGTCTTATACATTAAATGCTAATCAGTTTACCCATTCATTTCTTGTATGCACAATGAATTTATATAAAATTTACATACATAAATTAAATAGTTATGGGGACTAATTTTTATTTGGTCTTTCAAAAAATTGTTTCTTGTAGGTCTTCAATATATGGATCTCATTTGGCGCATTCACCGCAAATGTAAGTTATAAAATAAATAAATTCATTATTTCAAATTGAGATTTGAACTTGGCGCAAACTTGTTGAAATGAGTTGCTAGCTAAGTTCTTTACCAGGAACATGGACGTGGAAAGTATTTTTCCTTGGGTGAAATTAAATGAAATTTAGTAATAATCAGTAGTGTTTATCAGATAACAACACTTTTTTAACCAAAGTTCGTATTTTATTAATCAAGTATTTGTTGTATTTAACTACGCCCATGAATTTATAAAAGTTTTCCAATCAGAACTTTTCTGGTATATTATAAGTATATTCCTCAAGCTTTTTGGTATATTTTAACGGTCGCGCGCCTCGGTCACTTTGTTCATAAATGTATAATTGAATTAAAACTAGTAATTTTTGGATTTGTTAGCGGCTCATTGCAACTCCAGAAAACGAACAGACAACACCACTGCAAAATGGGCGACAGTGTGGACTTGGAAAAGTGCTTTGAAGTGGTCAGCAATCTGGTATCCGAGGCTGGACGGGTAAATAGTAGTGGAAAACCACTCGAGTGTTATTATGGAAGCTTGTGGAATTTTCCTATTTCCTCGGTTATTTTCCCAGTTAATCGCTCGCAATAATGAGACCCGTCAGGAATTCGTGACCAAGAGCAACGACATCGACCTGGTGACCCAAACGGACAAGGATGTGGAGCAGCTGCTGATGGACGGCATTCGCCGGCATTTTCCGGATCACAAGTAAGTTTAATAACCCAATAGGATATCTGGTGGTGTGCTTATCTAAGGGTATTGCAGATTCATAGGCGAGGAGGAGAGCAGCGGAGAGGGGGGCGTCAAGAAGCTGACCAATGACCCCACCTGGATCATCGATCCCGTGGACGGAACCATGAACTTTGTGCACGCCTTTCCCCACTCGTGCATCTCCGTGGGTCTGAAGGTGAACAAGGTCACGGAGTTGGGCCTGGTCTACAACCCCATCCTGGAGCAGCGCTTCACCGCCAGACGGGGCCATGGAGCCTTCTACAACGGCCGGAGGATCCATGTGAGTGGCCAGCAGGAGCTGGGCAAGGCGCTGATCACCACCGAATTTGGAACCACTCGCGACGAGGCCAAGATGAAGGTTGTCAACGAGAACTTCGAGAAGATGGCCAAAAAGGCGCACGGGTAAGTTTTCAAGTTTTCAAGTTTTTCATACATTAATATGGCTTCTTAAGACCCAGAACTCTTTATTTGACAGATCTTATTTATTGTAATGCAAAGAAGGTTTTATTTAATATACTTTATCTCTAAAGTCAATTAAATTAATTTTATTTTAATTTATTTTTTTATAGAAGTTATAACTAGATTATTTGTTTAAGATTGTTTCCCAATAAAAGAGCTTACATTTTTTGCTACTTTTTCTGGAATGTTGTACCCTGAGTTTTCAGAACGTTTTACCTAATTTCAAGTCACTTTAAAATTTTAAATGAAATTAAATGTATAGTATATTAATATCTCTTTCAGTTTACGCGCTTTGGGTTCGGCAGCACTTAACATGTCCATGGTTGCCCTAGGAGCTGTCGATGCCAACTATGAGTTCGGCATCCATGCATGGGATGTTTGTGCCGGGGACTTGATTGTTCGCGAGGCTGGTGGAGTGGTCATCGATCCTGCTGGCGGGGAGTTCGACATCATGTCGCGCAGGGTCCTGGCAGCAGCCACGCCCCAATTGGCCCAGGAAATCACCAAAGTGCTGACGCAGTTCTATCCTCTTCCTCGCGATGATTGAGCAGGAAAACCGTTATCGACTTAAACAGGGGAGCAATGTAACTCCATTCCATACTAACCAGATAAACGCATTTCAACTGTGCCGATCATGTACCTAACAATTTAAATGAATACGCCTAGTCATGCATATTCCAAATAAATCGTTTTATGTATACAAAGCCAAGTTCAATTATATCGATTATAAACATCCTATTTGTTTAAATCTTCCTTCTGTTGAATTTGGAATTTTCTTCCTTTTTCATAGCTGGCCCCCCTGATAAAGTTCTATATTTTTCCATTACTTTATCAAATCATTCAAAGACGTTTGTTTGTTTGCTTTTCTGTAATTTTATTACAATCTGCGTATGTATTTCGCTTTCTAATTAGTTTTCGCAGAGCTCTTATCGCCATTTGTTTATTTGTTATATTTTGTTTTGGGCTTAGTGTTATGTATATGGGTTTCTCTTCTATTTCTTAGTATTTTAGTAAAGCGAGCTGGCCTCATATCTGATAATTGTGAGTGCCCTGCACTGTGAAGCGGAATGAATGGGGTTGGATTCACCACAGACCGCAGGTCACCTATTAGATCGTGCAGGGCAACGCAAGGTCGACGCTACCGACACATCCTTGGGATATGGGGGGTTATGGTAGGGTATCAGTAAACAGCTAAGCAATGTCTTGCATATTGATATATGATTAGTGTATATCTGGGATCTGGGGTCTGGATCTTTGCACTGTATTCGAGTAGAGTGATTTGTGGACACGTAACAAGCCATGATCGTAGGAAGTCGGCCTTCTTAATGCGCTGTAAATTTGTCTGCTGTAGTTGCTGAGTATTTTGGACTATCGGTAATACCATTTAAAATTTGACACATCATTGAAAATGTAATCAAAGCTACAGTAGGTAAAAAATTGTATCTATATATTTATTATATGTCTGTATATAATAGTTAGGTATAAGTTAATAATGTAATTAAAAATCTGTTGTTCTTGTTGTCGTTTTTAATGCTACATTCACAAGGTTCCATTATGCGCACTGGTTTACAAAATTAACACAGAGTTTTATTCTTGGGTTTGTGCTCGGATCGAAAGTATAGTGTTGGAGTGGATATTTTTTGGGGATCGGGAGAGAAAATTGCTAGCGTTGCAAGTTGCGTGTCTGCTAAGATATTGCGAATCGTAGTCTTTAAATTTATGTATATAGATCTATGTTGATTTCGATATTCTAGTTCAATAAGCGAAAGGTACACATGGAGCATAGAACGGCAGCCACAAGTTCGATCGCAGCTGCCTCTACATTTAATATTTTCCTTTGTCACACTAATAAAATTTACAAAATGTTCTATATAAATTCAACAATCAATGAAGAGCTTTAGAGAAGAATCCTTTTGATTTTTACATACATGTATTTGATATATAGATAGCTTTAAATATATATGTATATTTTGTTCGCCTGTCTGGTTGGTTTTCCTCGCTTGTTTCCATGTAAACTTAACACACAAATTTAGCACCAATCTATTCAAAATTGATCAAACAATTTGATTGTTCCGAGTTATACAAATGAAGCCTTAAAGCACTTAACTTAGATGGTCTCTAACCCAAGGATCTTAATCGTAGGATGTTAAATGTCTTGTCTTAAGTGAGAAACTGAACACTTTCAATGGAGGTCGGAGCCGCCGAAGATCTGGGATGGATCATCGAGCAACTCAATGGGTGGTGGGGTCTAAAATAATCAAGTCGCAGCGAGTTAATGGTACAAATTAATTTAAATTTATTTACACGCAGATACAATAAACGCATCGATCTTCAATTCGAAATAATGATTTAAACTAGTCATATATATTTATCATTTATCATTTATCTTTTCGCATATGCATATATTATCATATCGTATGGGATCTCCAACTTTTGCAAGCAAACGAAGTGGGTCTTTTTGCTTTTCGACTACGCTAGGTCCGTATCTCTAGATGTAACGTACACATATATCCGATATCGTTTATAGTAGTTAATATTATTAAAAAAACCAGTATTTATCGAACTTTAACGCTCGCTCTTCAGTCGAGTTCTAAATAGATGCCTTGGTTAGCTGGCCAATGGTGAATTTTCATTTTCATTTGCATTTGCATTTGCATTTGCATTTGCATTTGCATTTGCATTCTTAATTTCGGTTGGGATGAGTGCTTGGGGATGTGAAGTGATGTGGATCGGAGTGGATCTCGATGAGTCAACAATGAAATAAATAATTTATGTTCGCGCATGGATATGTTCAGCGGGGAGTGGAGTTGATTGGAGTAGAGTAGAGTGGAGTGGAGTCCTAGTCACTCTAACACTGCTAGTGAATATGCATATAGGCTTAGTGAACTATCTCCAGTAATGCTGAGTAGACGTGTATCTGATCTCCGGCCCTCCCGTTTTTCACTATAGCTACGTTGCTTAAGCCTACAAGTGGTAGAATATTTTGTTGCGGTTTGCATTTGCACGGCCCTGGAAACGCGCTGGTCCGGATCCCCGCCATCCTACAGCTCGTCGTCGGCCTTGGGGATGTCAAAGATCTCGGCGAAGAGGGGCGGCAGGCGCAGCTTGGTCCAGTTCATCCGCAGCCAGTCTAAGTGTGAGAAGTGCTTGGCCCCCAGGGACCGCAGCTCGGGTATCTTGGCCTCCAGCGCCGGCATCAGCTGCAGTGCCTGCGGCGATCCCGCCCGGGAGCGCAGGATCTGGACGCGGAGCGCCTCGGCCACCAGCTCCCTGGCCCGTCCAATCACCTTGGGCTCGCTGAGTCCCGTCCGGTCCGAGGCCAGCAGCACCATGGCCGAGAAGAGCCCGATCTCGGTGTCGCTCAGCCCGTAGGCGTTCAATGTGTTGGCAAAGTTCAGCAAGGCGTTCACAAAGTCAGACTGCAAGAAAACAGAGCAATTAGTAAACATTTAATTATTATGTTGTCCGAAAAATTACGAAACTGTTCTTTGTCGGATTCTAAACTATTAGGTATGAAACCATTAAGTAATATTAACTTGTGTCTTTCGACCTATAATTCCTGGCAATATGCAGGTACAGTATTGACATACAAGACTAAACAAATTTTCGTTTAATGCCCAACTTAAACTTAAACTTATTTGAAAACTTCCTGATTAGATCAGTTTTAACTTATTATTAACTAGTATGAATAATAGTCCTGATAAGACGAGTATTGATTAAAAACTTTCTGAAGTGTCAAAATTAAATTTTCTATATTAAAATAATGCTGCCAAACAAAAAATAGAAAGTGGGTTCATTTTTGGACATTTTTTTTAAGAGTAAATACTTTAATGAACAAATGTTTTTCTTGTTTCCAATAAAACCAGATACGCAAAAACTTGAGTCTAGTAAACAGGCTAGTTCTGGCCCATATATGCAAGCTAAAAAATGATATTCCATTCTACACACTAGAAACCTTTTATTTTTCCCTATATGATTTTTTAAAATCTTTTTTAATACCTCAAGAAGTCTACTCACATCGTAGAGTATCTCGAGTTGCTGGCGCGTCAGGTAGGCTCCGTCGTCCAGCGTCAGAGTGGCCTCGTTGATCAGGCGGGCCACGTGCGTCAGCCAGACCTCGAAGAAGCCCAGCTTGATGAGTATGAGCTGGTCGTCTTGGGTGAAATCACAGAAGCCAGGTACGCGTTTCGCAAACTCCACAATCCGCTGGACACCGGGCGTCACCCTGGCCGAGAACTGCTGCCACAGCCAGATCTTCTGGAACTCCAGGCTCTCCGCCACTGTGCTGGCAATCTGGAAAAGAGGAAACCCTTAGTTAAATAGAAACCCTTGGACAAAATTGTCTAGCTCTAAATTCACAAGTAAGGATCCATTTATATTGCAAAGAAAACTTTTTCGACAGCTAGTGGGTAATTGAAGGAAATTTATTTTCGTCTTCCGCTAGTGCTTCTGAAATCAGCGTAAAAAGTTTACAGAGCCTTGGTTTTTTTTGCTGTCAATCAATATTTTATTTTATATGATTTAAGATCTTTGTTTTTAGGGAAAAGTTATCTTCTTAAGTAATAGAATGTTTAATACATAACAATTTTAACAATAATTTAATTTAACAGGCCAAAAATAAAAAAAAAACAGAACTGTTTTTAGGTAGTACAACTTTTTATATAAAAATTAATTTTTTTCACTACTTCTTGGATTTAAAGTTCCTTATATTGTATTCTTTGTAATTGGGACTAATATTAAAATATAGATTAAATGTGTAGATGTAGCATTAAAAGTCTATAGATTAAATATTTTTGAGGAATTTGGTAGTCTTAATGTAGAATTTTATTTGATATTGGTTTCTAATATCTGGTCTTTGTCTTTGAAGGTTATAAAGTGTCTTCCGTACTTACCCCATTTTGGGGCACCGTCACTGGACGGCGCATCAGCTCCCTGGTCAGTTCCTCCGTGTAGGAGCAGTTGAGGCGGTGCGCCTGCGACACGCACATGATCACATCGTAGACGGTCAGCTCGTTGGCCGTTCCGGCCAGTCCGTCGTGGCACATGCCCACCTGGTGGTGGCCCCCGCCCAGTTCCGTGCCCATGCCCACGCCCACCATGCTGCCGCCCACCAGTTGCTGGTGACCGCCCACAACAACAACGCCGACGCTTACGCCGCTGCCGCCGCTGGCATTGCCGCTGCTGTTGTTGTTGTTATTGTTATTGTTATTGGCACTATTGCAACCGCCCAGCTCCGATGGCGAGGATGCGATCGAACACATTTGTGGCGTTTGTGGAGTACTCGGTGTCTTCACTCTGGCGCCGCTCACATGCGGCTGTTGCTGTTGATGTTGCTGTTGATGTTGCTGATGTTGCTGCTGCTGCTGCTGCTGTTGCTGCAGGAGATGTTGCTGCTGTTGCTGTTGCTGCTGTTGCTGCTGTAACTGGTTGGGGTGCAGTGTACTGCCGGAGGAGTCATCCACATTGAGGGAGGAAGGAGCGCCTGCGGCGGCGGAGGCGGCGGCTGCTCCGTTCAGCTCACGGGAACGCTTGGGAACGCGACCATAACGTACAGCTGCAAAATGGGGGAAAAAAAGGGAGAAATGGGTCAATAAGTTACTAGCAAATAGTCCACAGTAAGTTGCATATTTAAATAGACAAACAAGTAATTTTAATTACTTTACTGGCTATACAATATATGCATGTAGTTATTGACACTTCTAGAGAAAATACATATTTTTATGAATGTACATTGTACATATGTAATTATTATTTTTTTAAATTATTCCTGAAATTTTAACTACCTTACTGTCGTGCAAAGTTTGTATATATTGAAACTCCTAGAGAAAATTAAAAATGGCGATTAAACATATTTGCAGAAGAAACATTTGCTCAATTTGACTTCAATTAAAAATACATTTTCAAGTTATTGTGAAAACATGATGGCAAAAATGGGGAAATGTGAACTGTGCATTTATTTCCGCCCATTTTAAAAGCGCCACCCAAAAGTATGCCACAGAAAAGGTCATATAATTTTTACGTTTCTATTTTCAATGAACTCCCCTTTTACATTTTCATTTAAATTTTCAAAAGAAAACTGATTATTATATGGTTGGGCCAATAAAATAGTGCGTATTTTGTTTATAGCTTGTATATTATTAGTCACCTGATTATTTAAATTCGAAAATTCATTCCCTACAAAACACACAATTAACTTATTATAGCAGCCGCCGAGTGTTGATGTATACTTTGTATTTAGTTGGGAAAGAAGAAAAACTGGCACACGCATAAATCTTATAAATGCGTCACACACTTGTGGATACTTTCGAGTATCTCTAGCAAATTGCCAACACATCTGTGCTATCAACTAGAAAATTTGCGTGTCCTACAAGTTGTTGGTCTGTCGAAATGCGATACATTCTGTCGGGGAAAAATAATTAATTTCAATTTGCGTTCAGCGTTTGAAGTGTTCATTAGCCAATGTTTTTTTTTTTTTGGCATTTCTCAGTTTTGTTTGTCTGTGAAAATTGCACAACGTGAAATTTGGCTTTGTGCAACCGAACCCAACACATATTTTATTAATTAAAATCGCATTTGGCTGCCCAAAACTCAGCGCAGCGCACCGCAGACAGACAGAAAAAGAAAAAGAAACAGAAACAGACGCAGCTGCTCCAGTTGCCGGCATTCAGTGCTCACTTTATCAGTGGGACATTGACCCACTGCGCTCAATATGAAAACGGAGGCAAGTGATTTCGTTGCCGCCGCTTTTTGTTTTTCCTCTTGCCTTATATGAGTTTATGTGCGGGTATTTCTTCGGCTTTGTCGAGTTGTGTTGTGTTGTGCTGTGTTGTTATTGTGGTGTGGCGGTAGCCGCCGTCGGCGGTTTCCAAACAAACGGCCACAATAACAACACTAATGACGAAAGCCTCTGCTCTTACTATGCGTCAGCATTTTGGGCTGACAACATCGTAAAATCACATAAAATAAAATAACATAAAATACGGCATGAGCAGAGGCAAAAGAAAAAGCACGGCAAAAGTGAAAGAAACTTCGCATGCATTGCGCATACGCAGCGTGGACAGGGGAAGCCGGAAAACTCTTCTGCACGCAAAGCATCGCCACCAAAGCCAAAAGGCAGCTGGCCAAGTGAGAGATGGCCAACACACTGACCCATTTATGAAAACGCCAAAACATCGCATCCGTGCTGGTCGAGGGTCAAAAAGATCGTTTGCCCTACACAACAAGATATATTATATTATTAGATATGAGAAATTCCATAAAAAGGTTAAAAAAAATGGTACACTATACAGAAAATGATTTTAAATTATTTAAAATAAATAGGTATTTAATTTAGAATAACTATAAATAAATCCATTTTATAAACACATATTAGTATTGCAATATTTTCTGAGTATAAATGTATCATAATAAAGTAAAAACGAAGTCTTTTAAAATATGAAGCTCATTATTAGTTTTCTAAATTTTAACTAACATTTCTTAAGATTAGCTAACATATATTTTTTTTTTTGTTTACAACGAATTGTTTATTTGTTAAAAGTTTAAAAAAATAAAATTTTCTTGATTGATTTCATCTTTTTATTATTTATAACATTAACATTCCTAAATGTCATGCTAGCGAATCAGTGCAATTTGATAAGGTAAACACCAAGTTGATGACCCATTTCGGTGATAGATTTAGCAGCTTTGGAAGACCCTGAGCCGGAGCTTCCCTGACCTTAGTTTGGCGGCAACATGATCCCATTACGACCGCTGCCAGACGAGGTTTCAGTTCCAGCCTTGTCACGCTCATAACTCTAGGTTTTCTAGGTTCTCATTGTGCTCGAGTCACGCTTTTCACCGCCCACCGAAGAGCGCTGATCATAAAACGTCTCGTTGGCGTTAATTGTCACAGCTCGTAAATTAATTATGTCATAATTCGCCACACCACACACACCACACACAGCACCCCCATACACCCATACACCCATATAGACATATAGACATAGTCATGCATAATACTTGGACATTGGGTTTTTGAGGCTGCCACCTTCGATATGCCGCTAATTGCTCATGGCGGGCACTCGGCGTTCTTGCTCTGTTTGTTCTAAGGTGTTTTCAATTAGCGACCGAGGGCCTCGGCTTATTGATTTTGCAGATTTCACCATCGCAAATCGAGATTCAAGGGGCTGCGGCTGCTTAAGTCGTCAATAAGTGGAGCAGATCGATGGCATCTTCAGCCGGATTGCAAGTGGAGTGTCTATCATTGCGGAATTGGGAGCAGTCGTCCCCGAATGGCCCCAGTATAATCCCCGTCATTACTTATTCAATCGACCTGGACCTGCTGGACCTGGAACGTCTCGCCTCTCGCCCCTCGCTTCTCGCCTGTCACCTGTCACCACCCACGGAGCAGGCCCCATTCAGACCAGGTCAACACCATCCATTACACACGCCTCGGGCCAAGTTGGGGAGCCAGCCCGAGCCCACATAAATAAGTGGAGCGTTGCTGGCCTAAGCTCAAACTTTTTTCCCAGCTAAAAACATCTTAAGTGATGTAGTGCAGCCAAATGACGAGCGGCAGAGGGAGGCGAAGCGGCAGCAGGGGAGTGCGGTGTGGGTTGAGGGGAGTGCGGAGCGGAAAAACTCGTTTAGGCCAGATTCACAGGGAGAAATACACTTTGAAAAATATATATCCACTTGAAAAGTTCACAAAACTGTAAAGGTCTCCTTATTGCAAAATAACGTCTTTAAGTTAATTTCTTTAAAAACTGTTAGATTTCGAAAACAATTCATAGGGTCTATGAAATAAATAATCTCGCCGATAACTCCCCTCAATAGTTACATAATTTATTTTTGTCTAAATATTTTTGTAATATTTGTTTTTTTAATTTCAAGCTAAGGGTTTAGAATAGTTTTTAAAGTTGAAAGATAAGACCTCTTTAAGATATAAAAAGTATAATAATAAAATGTGTTTAAAAATTAAATTAAATTTACACAGAAATAGATTTCATACATTATTGTAAGGGTTAAAATGTGGCTAATAATTCTTAATTAGGTAGCTTACCGTAAATACAGCTTAACCAACCTTTTTAGAAACTAGGTCGAGAATGTATTCTACTTTTTTTTCGAGTGCACAATGTAGGGGGAGGGGTTTCTTGCTAAGCTGAGCTCCCACTTCTGGCCTGGGTAAAAAAGGATTTAGGTCACCGAAATCTGAGGCAGCAGAAGTGTGAGAAGCGGCAGCATCGCCTCGTAAAGTGGCCAAATGTTGCCCACATTTAGCTTGGTTTTTTGCCCCAACTTTTGGTCGTAGTCTTTTGTCGCTTTTCGGACCGAACCGGGCCATTAGCATGCGAAGAGGGCCAAAATGCCAAATGCCAACAGGCAACATCCAACTGCCAAAGCTCCACGCTGTAGTAACACATATGCACAGACACGGATGTATACATAGCATATAGTTGATATTTTTTTGGGTTTATCGTGCGCATGAATGACCCCGACAGTTCCCTCTTCCTCATCCTCATCCTCTCCCTCTCCCACCCGCTTCCCATAACCCATAACCCCCTGTCACCACCCAACTGCTGACCTCGTTTGAGGTCGTTCGTTCACCTGTCGCTGCTGGCTGCACTTTATGCACTTTATGCACTCTACATTTGCATGACTGCCCGGGTGTATCAGTGTGTGTGTATGTGCCAGTGTGTGTGTGTGTTTACCCAGTTACGAAATTGTCCAAAATGCTGCGGCTTACTGCCGGGTGAAAGTTTGTTGTTTGTTTGCTGTTCCACAAATCGAAGAAACTGAACCAATTTTGTAGCTACTCTATCTTTATTTTTAAAAGATTTGAAAATTAATTTTATTTTTAAAACGGTTAAAGTTTTAAAGAACAGGTTTCGTACAACTTCTTAAATTTTTTTTCCAGCAGTAAAAGTAATAGACTTCTCCGTAAAAAAATAATTTCAATGGTATACAATTAAAAATTAAAAGTGATCTAGTTGTAAAAATTATCTGAAATATTGAAATATAATTATTATATAATATTAAACAAAAAACTTAAAATGAATAATTAAGAATAAATTAAAATTTTGAGAATTTTGAATTGGCTCAGAGTTAAATATATATTTTTATAAAATATGTTTTATTCACCCAATTTCTTGAATTGTATTATCCTTAACTATACATTTTTTATCTATTCTTTAAACGTAATAATTAAAATAAAGGGGCTTGGCTAGCACAATTAATTAATGCCCTTTGGCATTCCATAGCCAATAGACTCCGAAAAACTCTCCCCGCATTTTAAATGGCATTTTCTAGGAATGAAATGGTAAAAGTCTATCCACTTTTCGTAGCGTGTACGAAACTAAACTTTACATTTGAAGCTTCTTTTGTTTGTTTTCATATGCACCTGGGTGTGCCAGTCAGCGAGTGTTTGCGAGTGTCGCTCTATCTGGAACAGCTAAAATTGTTAGTTGCGTGCTAAATTTGTTGCTTTCTGCCAGCGGTAGAAGCAGCAGCAGCAGCAGCAGTAACAACAACAATTCGCACGCAGCAACCGCCCACACGGCCGGGGTAACAACAACAACAACAACAGCAACAACAACAACAGAAGCAACAACAACATAAACAGCAGCACCAACAACAAATGCAAAATTGTGTCAAGCAATTTGCGTAAATTATCGCCATGTTGTTGGGCGCTGCTCGCTGGCTTTTGCCTATTCGCTCTGCCCATTCATGAGGACAATTGCAGTTTAATGACCGTTCAAATTAACTTTGCCTCACTTCGATTTGCCATGACACATATTTATTTGATTTGATTTTGCCCCGATTGCAGTTTGGAAGCGAATCTTAAATTAACATCTAATATGGTTTTCAAGTAAGAAATATATCTAGTTTTGATATTCACCTCAAAGAAACATAAATAAAAGTGAAAAAAACCCTTTGATAATAAAGAAACATTATAATAATTTCGCCAAGTTTAATAAAAGGAAATAATATATTTCTACAAATAATCAAAATTAAAACAGTAGAGTCACATTTTTATCGACTTCTGGGTAAATTAGTTAAAGATGCAGAATTCAAGAAATGTGCTTTAATGATTTGGTTTAAAGTTTTTGTGTGTGCAAAATTCTTTGTAAGAAATGAAAATCGGTGTCCTAGTCCTGGTTGGGAGGACAGTTGCGGACATTTTCTGGGATATCACAGACGAATTTCTCCCTATCAAACCATTTGCCCAGCTCACAAAAGCCCAAAACAGGGCAACTTTCCAGGCAGGTGTAAAAGAAGCGGCAATGTTTAGCATGGGCAATAATTTGGCCATTGAAGCTACATTTCACTTCATTAGAACAGGATCCTCCTGGAGATCCTCCTGGAGTTGGCGGAGTCTCTGTAGTTAAAGTCGGAGTAGTTGGTGGTGTGTTGGTCGCTGCACAAAAGCCATCCCTTCTCGGACATTGACCCTCCACACAGGTTTGTAATTTGATGTCGAAGATCAGGCCGGAGGAACATTTCTTTTTCTCTACATTACCATCGCCACATTGGTAGTAACCGGAGCAATCCTCGCAGTCCGGTACCCTTTCACCCACTGGATGACCCGAGCAAACACATATGCCATCCGCATCACAGGGAAAATACTGACCAAACGTAGTAGCATTTTCGAGGATCAGGAATCCTCCAAGAAGTATAAAAACTGCAATGTACGAGTCCATCCTTAGAAGCAGGATATATTAACAAAATCCAACTAATGCTCACCCAACTTCATGCTCTCGGCAACTTGTCACGGTGACAACTAAATCTTTGCGGAAAATGTAAGCCATTTTATAGGCATTTAATAGTTACTTAGGTATTTAATAGACAAACTGTTGCATTGTTGCAATCTATTGGCTTTGCAATTGACCCAACTCCCAGGGGGTTTTGCCATATCATATCCACATCTATTTCCACTTCAGATAGTGAGAAGTCGATGTTTATTTTATAACCAATCAGCGTCAAAGATATTATGCCGAATAGAACTCAACCAAGTCGATGTAATATCGTCATATGTACAGCACGTGTTCGCACATTTACGTTTTTGGGGCAGGCCAAACAGTCAGAATATGAATAAAAAATCAAGCGAGAAATCAAAGGCAGCCAGCAGAGCGGCCATATATGCAAATTTTGAACTGACCTACTCCCATAAGAAAATCAAATAAAGTCAAGCGAAACGATACGAAACGATACGAAACGAAACGAAGCGACACTAAGCCGAAACGAGACAGATAGAGAACGGCAATAATATCAAAATTCCAAAGAGCTGGCAAATATTTATGCAAATACCCGGACGGAGGGCGTCGATCTCGAGTCAATCAATCAGATTTTGTGAATTCGCAAACGGCGGGAGGGTGACAGATTCCAAGGCAAATTGCGGACAATTAGCGGTGACTTGGAGAAAGGCTTTCCCTCGAAGTGTAAATGGAACCCATTTCTTGCTCGGGGGGGATGGGGGGAGGGGCAATATGTTTCCCTGCCTCCATTCACATGCTCATCTAAGCTGCTGACCCGCCTTCAAATACTCCAGACCCCGATCCCCTGATCACCCGATTCCCCGATTCCCCGATTCCCAGTTCCCCCACACATATATCTACGTATACATAATTCACTTAAGCGCGCTCAACGAAGCGAGATGAATGACCTCAATTTGAATAGTTGTCCATATAGCCACGATTTGCCTCGGACTTTCGGGTGCCATTTAAATCAACAAAAGCCAACCGCCGCCTACTTTTTACGTTTTTGACAATCTCTCGCTCTTACTTCTTTTACTTTCTGTTCTGTTCTGTTTTCATGTTGATTGCATTCTTGTCAAATTATTCAAATGCTCCACAATTTTCGGGGCAAGTTTTCTCCCATAAAGCTGGAATCGGGGTTATAATTATACCGCTGAAAGGAGTGGCTGCCCCGACGCCTTCTTCCATCTCCGCAGCCATCGTTATAACCATCGTCATCACCATCATCATCATCATTATTAACATCATCGCTGTCGCAGTCGTTGCCGCTGGCATCGTTTTTCTTTTTTATCTATTTGACACAATTCTCTGGGCAAAGTTGAGTTCTCTCCACCCATCCACTTGGATTTTTGTTTAGTGACACAGTTTATATGGCGTTCTCTTTTTTGTCCCCTTTTTTTTTTTGTTTTGTTTTGACTACCTAATTAGATAAAAACGTAGAATCCTAGGTGGTGAATCGGACACACGCTGATAGAGTGGTTAGATCGAAGTCAGAGAAGACCCCTCTAATGGATAGAAATTTAGATAAATTGCCAGCGACAAGGCTTCATCAGAAATCTGTAATAACTGGCGCGCTTCACGTCCGGCCACAAGCATTTCAATTAGCCAGCAGCTTAACGCAGATTATCGTTAGCAGACTGCCAACAACCAAAAATAAAAACCACTGACAAAAATACATTAGCCAGTTTTAATATGGAATCTGAATTAGAATAGTTAAATTTGTAATTTTTAATATGTAAACATGACCCGCACTAAAAAAAGAGTTTTTCTGTATCGAGTTTAACAGCAGGCAGAAACAAAATAAAAGCGAGGGAATGACAGTCATTAAGCCTGAGTAAAAATACATTTTTTTTTGCTGTGTAGATTCAGTGGAATTACCACATCGTTAAACGTATTTTGAACCTGCCCGAAAAAGCATTTTCTTAAACCGCATTTATGTGCTGTGGCTGCGGCAGAATCGAAAATGAAATTCAGCCTCGAATTAGGCATGCAACATTAAAAATTAAAGCGGGTAGAATCAAAAGCGTTTAACTGCCGGAAGCAACTCTAACTGTAAACCTCAAAGTGGGCAAACAAGTCGAGAGCAACGCGGCGTATGAGTAATGCCGCCGAATTATCGCCGCGAGACGTGCGATTTCGAGTGGTCTTATCAAATATTTGCACTAAAATGTGCTACTAAATTAAAAAAAGAGAAGCAAAACAACACACAAAAGCAGCTAGCCAAAAAAAAAAAAACAAAAAAAGCTAGACAAACACAAACAAAAAATAATATAGAAGAGGCAAAATAGGTTTTGATGCTCCAATTTGATAAGCGTCGAGCGCATTAGCAATTAGCGAATTAAATGCCAGCCCAGCGAACGCGCGTTTATGCTATAAATGTTTCAATGAACTAAAAAGCCTTCGGATCCCATCTATCTGACTGAGGGAGCCTCAGTATAAAAAACAAACAATTAAATTAGCCAAGAGGTAAACGTCAGGCCGAAGACAGAAATGCGAATCGACAGGGCAAAACTAGAACGCCGCCACATTTGTGAAATGCCAAAGACACACGCAGATACATTTGCACAGGCGATGGGGCTCAGATACATATGCAGATACAGATACAGCTACAGATACACCCAGAAGATGAGATCAACGCTCCCAGCAGATCTGTCGATTGGCGATCGCCGGGTGATCGATCGTTAGGGCAGCTGCTGCCAACCAGGCAGCCAATCCAATCCAACCCGTGATTGATTGAATTAATAATACGAATTAGCAGCGCCAAGTAGGTAAGATCAATGATCGCGAGCCAAGTGGAACGGCATGCGTTTCGTGGGCGCTTTCATCGGCAGAAGCTGCCGAAGTGTCTGCAGCAATCACAACAGCCCAGATATCGATCACAACAGTGGATAATAGCATTCACCTATGCGGATCGATCACCAGAGTCAGAAGCTGTCAAAATCTATGATCACTATATAAGTTAAAAGCCCTTAAAACCCACAAAAAGTATTTCGAAGAAGATCTTATGGATAAACAACTAATCATTTTGCCAATTTTGTTACTCTTAAAACAACAACAAAATTTTAACAGCTAAACATCATTTTGTAATTGGTGAAATTGTTGTAAATTATAGCTTATTAATAATTTTCAGCAATGTGTTTTTTTTTTTCAATTACCGCTGCAATTGAATTGTATTAATGTACTTTAATTTCGTTTATATTGAACAACAAAAATTGTTATATATACGTTTACATTTTGTTTGATAATAAGAAAAATGTTTTATTTATTCTTTGTAAATAAAATTAGTTCCAATGACATAATATTTTAATCAATAATTCATTAATTTGTTTTTTGTAAGCACAAATTAAAGTTGTCAAGTATCGATTATTTCACTTCTGAAACTTTATCGTAAGTAGTCACAAGCTAATGAAAAATATTTAAAATTGTTTAATGAAATCCAAGGTTTAGTTCGATGCTTTCTGATTTTTTTTTAGCTTGAATATGTAATCACATAATTGATCAGTGACTTTAGTTTGCCCCTCGATTTGTTGATCCCATGTAAGACCCGTCGCATTCTGTGCCAATCTGGGCTTAATCAGATCCCGCCGAGCTGCATCAGCAGCATCGATATCAGCAGCTTCCTGTCCGACGGCCCCTACTGTCTCAGCATAATAAGATCAACATCAGATCCGTCACCATATTGTCAATGAAAGTCAACAAGAGTCGTTGTCTTCATTATGAGGAGCACTCTCGCACAAATACTCCACACACACACACTCACAGCCAGACGACGATCATTGACCGCGACGGAGAGTTGCAGGCGCGTGAGTGTTTTCCCCGATTCCCTCCAGGTTCCCTCATGTCCCCCATGTCCCCCAGATCCCCCAGATCCCCCAGAGACACCCCGATCCTCTCCTGCCGCTGCAGGAGTTTCAGGGCACTGGCCAGTGGCTACCGATCGGAGATCGAGGGGAGCAGGGAACTTGGGAACTTGGGAACTTGGGAGCTTGGGAGCTCGGGAAGGGGACCAGTGCGTTGAACTATAAACGTCGTTCTTCGTTGTTCTTGCTGGGGCATTTCATTCTTGACTTTTTGCCGTGCGTTGTTTGGCAACGTCATCGTCATCAGCAAGCGATTACGATCGTCATCATTATGAGAGTCTGGCCTGGAGTTTGCCTGCTTGTTTTGCAATATCATAATCAGCAGCCCTTCACCGCCCTCCTCATTTCTTTCCTTTTCACTCTGCTCATTTAGCAATTCGGATTCGGTGCAACGAACGCGAATTTCGGTTTTTTTTGGCTACATTTCGGTGAGTTGTTCTGACTCCGTATCTGTATTTTTCCCTCGAGTTCCTCTCTTCTGCACAGGAAACAATTTTTCTGTATTTTTTTAATGAAACTAAAGGTTTATAACTCCCATTTATTATTTTGTTTCTTATGATTTTGTGTAAATATTTCATTAAATAATGCATAAATGTCAAGATTTGATTTGAATTTAATTTTAATATTTTTAATATATATTTATTTAGAATTAATTCTTGATTATTACTTCATATTATTTTAAAAATTGCATTTTTTTCTAATTTAGTATTTAATTTTTAGTTTGCTGCCTATAAATTTGATCTACAGTTTTGAACGCCAAATAGTTGAAAAGAAAAAAATCATTGGACTTGATAAAGTTACCTTATTAATCAAATTGCTTTTATTTTCGAATTAGGGTATGCTATTATGATAGTATTGCTGTATGGATATGTTTTTTTGTCAGTGTTGATTGATCAGCTGGTTGGTTGGTTAATGTTGCTGCTGTGTTCTTCGGTGTTTTTGTTGCTGTTGCTGTTGCTGTTGTTGCTGCCTTGAGGTCGATCCCTTTGTGGGCTCTGTTCTGCTTGCGGATTGCTATCAAAATGCAGCGCTGTCGGTGCTTCACCCTTTGCAGTCGCCTTGCCGCCGTCTGTCCGCTTAGCCCCTACACCTCCGCCACCCCCTCCCCCGCTGTCCGTCCGTAAAGTGTCAATGCACTTGTTCTTGTTTCAACCAGCAGCGCATTTATGTGCGCGTGTGTGCCTTTGTGTTTCTCTGTTTGTGCGACTGTGTGATTGTGTTTGCCGGCGTAGTGCGTGTGTGCTTGACTGCGTCGTCTTCACGTGCGTCGCCTCCTGCTGTTTGGGCTGACCCCCCGTCCCCCCTCCATCCCCTCAGCATAAGCCCCTGGCCAACTGAACCCCTCTTCGCCCCCGTCTCTGGGCACCCAGGTTGCTCAATCCTTTTTGCTTTCCGTTTTTCAAGCACTGTTCCTCCAGCAACCACTGCACTCAGAAAAATTAGGTTTCCTTAATTATGGAAATTATCTAGGAAGTTCATGTTTGTAAATGCTATAATCTAGAAATTTGGCTAATAATGAATAACTTGGAAGCAAAGTTCGTTTTTGTCATATTTTAAAACTTATCCAAGTAAATTTTAAAATTTTACGTTTTTGACATTTTGGATCACTTTAATTCCCGTAAAAAAAAATGTCATATAACCCTATAATATGACTCACAGTGCTTGGCTAATTTCTATTTCAAACATTTTTTCTAAGACAACAATTTGCATATTAATTTATAGAGACTTGAATTACGAACTTTTAAGGATATGACAATATTTAATTCGTGATTCAGATCCAAAATCAGGATAAGTTTACATTGAAAACAACGAATTTCTTTTGGCAACGAGATAGTTAGAATTGGCAAGAAAACGAGTTTTTTTTTTATATGCTGGTATGAAAACTCATCTAAATTTTTGTGCTGTGTGTACTATCCCTTGCCTTGCAACGTCGCCTGGTCGACGTCTGCCTCGAGTGCCTGCCCAGCCGCCTGGCAGCCCCTCCTCCTCCTGCGGGCCTGCTCCGTCCCTGGTTCCTGGCTATTGCCCCCTCCTGCATCCCCTGATCCGCCCCTGCAGCTGGGTCGTTGCTTCGTTTGTTCGCTGGCTGCCTTTGCACTTTGGTGCATCCTTGTCTGGCGTTTGAACTTTTTGTGCTGCGTTGTTTGGTGTGCAATCTTTGTTCGGCAGACGTCTGGCCTTCACTGGTGTGAGTGAGTATCTGTGTGAGTGAGTGAGTGCGTGTGTGTGTGCGTGTGTGTGTGTGTGTGTTTTTGTGTGTGTGCATTGGCATTTGACTCCATTTAAAGTTTGTTTCGCTTTATTTTGCAAATAAAATTAACTCCAGCGATTGCCACAGCGTGGAAGTGCAAGTGAAAATTACTGAAGATGGAGTTGCCAAGTGCTATCGCTCTCTCTTTCTTGTGTCTCTCAGCTCTTTCCCACCTCCCTGCTGATTGCTTTTTGTGGCATCTACCGAGAGGCGAGATGCCCCCAATCCCCAATCCCCAGTCCCCATCGCACATCAACCATCAACCCATCCAATGTCTGGCGTTTGCTAATGAGCTGAGCTAGCTACGCATAAATATGAAATGGGCACACATTAGCTCAAGGGTTAGGAGTTTTCCAGGGGGTTCAGACGGAGGTGGAGGTACTGAGGAGGATCTGAGAGTGCAGTGGATTGCAGACCGTACCGGTAAGTGCTTTAAATGGACTTCAGCACAGAGATTTACTATGCAAAGTGCGGCGGAACTGAAGACTTTACATACATAAATTATGGGTTTACTTTGAAAGGTGTAAATGGATGTCCAAAGGTAAGAGAATCATATCATTTAACCTTAGTATACAGGAATATTATAGTTTCTTGTAGACATTTGTATGTCTACATTGTACAAATGTCAAAAATTAAATAGTAAAAGTTTGTTGTTCGTAAAAAACCATTAAAACTCTAGATCTATATCTTAAAACTAAATTTTAATGATTTATTTTTACTTATATGGTAATTTAAATCGTTAAAAATCGTTACTATAAATTGTTTACAACCTTTTAACCAGCATATATACAATTGAAATATTTAGATTTATAAGTTAGCCACATGAAAAAGCGCTTATTCAATAGAACTTAATTAACACAAATTTGCCAAGTTAATAGCTGTGCCTACTTCAACCCAAATCCCCCTCGAAATCATGTTAGGCGTGTTTATGTTTGGCCGCAGACATTTCCCAGCGACCCCGATCCACGCGTTTAACCCACTTTAAACTTGTCTGTTTTCGGGGCACACAGTCACAGTCATTAGCCAGCCGACAAAAACTCCATCTTTATCTGCAGATCCATCGCATGTCTCATCGGATGGAGACGGATGGAGACGGAGCCGGAGACGGAGCCTCGGAAACAGCCTTTGTTTTTGCCCCGGGCTCCGCTGAGGGCCATCAACAGCATTTAATAGGCTCATCAACACACGGAGTCGTCGCTGCAGCTCCACCCAAGCAAGACCCCCATCGAAAAACTGCCCCCCTCTTTCTGCTAGGCAACCGACAAAAACCACCTGTACAACATTTTAATACATTTTGTAATAAAAACAGACGTCATTAAATGGCGACTCGCAAGTAACTGACGAGATACGCTTCTCCGACTCCATCACCGCCTAACTTCCCCCTCACACTTTGAGCCACCCCCATTCCGCCCCCCACGTCCATTAAACAGTTACTGACGACGCCCCTGTCCATTCCATTCCACTCAGCTCAGTTCAGTTCAGTTCACTTCGGTTTGGTTTAGTTCTCTGGCGTTTGGATCCATTCGGTACTCGGTTCTGTTCTGTTTAGCGCTCTGAATGGAGCAGTCGACCCGTCTCCATTTGTGGCAGGCAACAGTCATGGCTACAAAGCTAAAGACCCAGTCTGTCAATCACATGTTGTCACTACACTAAGGAAAATAACAGTTTCTGGTGCTATAACTCCATAAGATTTCATCAATGTTTAAATCATTGTTTATTTCCGAAATTAATGTTATATTTTTAATAGGCACACTTACTAATGGAAACTTCGAGGTAGTCGTATAATATTCATAATTATTTTGCAATTTAAAGCTTGAAAATGAGCAACATTTAGCAACATTGCAATCAAGTGTTCCTTGCCTAGTTAGTTTAAGACCCTTTAATACCGCTTTAAATGGAAATATATAAATATTTTTGTCCTAAAAAAAACTTGCTGTCAAGTTTAAAGGATTTTCAATATTACACATTATGGTATATGAAAAATGTTGGTGTGCATTAAATAACTAAAAATATATTACTACTACTTAAATATATATACAAATTTGAACCGCACCAATATAAATACATATATGAAAGTTTTATTTCGTTATATCTGTGTTACAAAATATAAGAAAAGATTATTCTACAAACGTTTATTGAATTGTAATGA